TGGCTTCACAGGGAGCAGCAATTCTGCAAAGTGCCCTACAGCATCTCTCACTCTTTAGAAAGGCCTGGGCAAGGGGCAACTCCGAGCACACATGGTGCTGATAAAGAAACTGTATGAAAAACCCTGTTAAAAGTAGCAGATTTCCTTTTCTTCTTTTTTCAGAGGGGCTAGTAAATACCCTGCCTTGTAAGTGCAGAGCCATGCAGAGCAGCTGGGTGCTCTGCATCTCTGCTGGAAGGGATTTATGGATCCATGACCCAGCAGACACTGTTGGGGGGCTGTGGATCTGCATCGGAGAGATGCATAAGCCTGCCGCTGTGAACCTGCCTTTAACACTGTGCTGGCACCTCAGGGGGTGGCTGCAGGGGCACAGAGGCCGAGGGTAGCCTTGTCTCGGTCAGCTCTACCTACTCAGCCAGTGAAAACAGCATCCCCACTACAGCATCCCCAAGGTCCCCGCGACAGCATCCCCAAGGGTCAGGGGACAATGTGGGAGATGTGTGCAACACAAGGTCTGTGCTAAGCCCCTCAGCCTGGCCTGGTGTGTGGCTCTGGAGAGCAAATCAGTGAGTGGGAGAGGATGTTCCCCTGCCTGTGCTGTTCCAGGTATCTCCTGGAGCACCCTGGGCTGCTCCTGCACACACCGCTCCGCCAAGTGAACCTGCCAGCTCTGGGGCCCTGGGCTGGGGGGAGCCTGGGAGTCTTTGAACTTTGTTTGAGATGAATCTGAGCCTGGGGCAAGTGCTTGATGGATTTCTTCTGAAGGGCAAATTCCCCTGGGCAAGTCCCGTCTCCCCCCACTCCCCAAGGCCTTGTCCCCCTTCCCCCCAGCATTGCCTCTGGCTGGATGAGTGCAGACCAGCTCTCCCAGCACAGCAGGAACTGCAGGTGGCCCATAGCCAGCTCTCCTAGCACAGCAAGGGCAGCGACCCTGGGATGTCTGGAGCAGGTATCAGTTAGGAGTAGGATTAAAGCCAAGGGACGAGTTTGAGGTATAGACCATGGTCTGCTAAACATGATGGGGGTCTTTAAAATGGATTTTGCTGTTGTTTTAAAGATAACTCTCCCAATAAGTTAGATGCCACCCCCCTCATGGCTGTTTCCTTGCTCTCCCATGTGTTTCAGTGTTTACCAGTTTCCCACATCCCACCACCGTGTTCCTGCACAAACTCCAGTGGCTGCTTCCCTAACCCAATTCCCCCCACTCCTGTGCTTTATAAGTGCCATGGGCAGTTGCAAACTGACAGAGGGTTTAAAAGTTGCCAACACCAACAAGCCCAGTGAGACCGGAGGGTGACCTGCTCTGCGGGGCAGCTCTTTTCCCGTGGGAGCTATCAGGAAGATGAAAGCTGCTTGGCCGTACCTGCGCAGGGCCATGGTGCAGTGAAATACAATCTGCTCATTAACTGCCACGACAAAGAGTTTTCTGCACAGGGGCTGGGCGTGAGGCAGCTGCCTGCTGAGAGAAGGGCCGCACCGGGCAGCATCAATCGCAGCTCCGGCTGGCAGCTCCTCAGGGAGCCAGGAGCTGGGGCTGCACCCCCCGTAGCAGCCTTTGCACCTCCTCTCCTGCCACTGCTGATCCCTGCTTGTCAGATAAGAGGATGGCATGTTTTGGGATGCTGAGCTGAAGCTGAGCCTTTTCCAGTGGTGTTCTTAAGTGCCAGGGAGCTGCATGGTCCAGGGAGAGCTTCCTGCATGGTCCAGGGATGGTGCAGCAATGCATATACAGCCCTCCATCCTTGTGCTAAAGAGCTTCCTGTATAAAACCATGCGACTTGTAGTCCATCTCCTACAAGCACTGCACTGCTGCCACAGGAGCCCTCCTCCCTGTCCTTCTGCTGGGCCCCTCAGATGCTGCTGGTCTTCCTCATGGTAGTACTGTCTCTGTTAGGAAATGTTACAGTGAATGGCATAAGGAAGCTCGTAAAATGTGGTGTCAGTGCCACATTTGGGGATGGGGGAATACAAATAACGGGGGTCACTTGGTGGGCACTGCTATGGGAGTATCACCTTCTAAATCACCATTTTTCTTTCTGCCTCTTCCCTGGACTGCAGCACTGGGGGGATTTGCTATGTATGGGGGAAGGAGCAGGCAAATCACTGCACCCATAGAGCAGGATGCTAGCTGCTGTCATGGGCTGTGCTGTGAGAGAGCAAGGGATACTGGTGCATCAGGCGTGCCGAGAGCACAGCCACTCACTGGATGCAGGTGCTGGGCAGCAAACCCAGGCAGCCTGGTGGGGCTTGCTCTGTGTTTTCTGAGGGTTAGCCTTGGCTTGAAAACAAACTTTTAAACTCTGGCCCTTTCAGTGGGAAATGCAAGAGCACCTGGGAACAGCTGCTTGCAGGCTGCAGGGATGCACTGAAACCTTGAAAGAGGAGGTTTAAGCTGGTCCATGGCTGGCTTTGCACTGCAGTGGTTTGCTGGTGCAATGCAGCCTGGCTCCTCAAAAATGATCTCAGGCAGCAGTGATGTGGCCAAGGGGCACTGCAGGCTCATGGAGAAAGTAGGGAGATGCTCACATCTCCACTGGGCTTTCTGCACATGGCTATCTCACAAGTTAAGCAGCATCTTGTGGCTTCTGGGGCATCTTGCAAGGGGCATTTGTGCCTCCATCTGGGTCCTTCACCCATAAGAGACCAGCTCTGGTTGTGGGTCCTGGCTGACAGAATTACCGGTCCACCTTCTCAGAGGTTGTGCCATCAACACCCTATGCAGAGGGGGAGGTGAAGCCATCTCTCTGAGCCTTCTTCCAAGTGAACATCCAAAGGAACAAGTTTCTCTTGCTGGACTAATGGGGACCAAAACAGGAGAAACTGGGTGACATGAGATTCCCTGGCCTGGGCATGGGGATGATCAGCCTGGGGAACAGAAATGCTCCTGCCGACCTTAATGCAACTGCTCTCAAGTGTTTTAATGCCTTGTTATTTTTGAGATAACTTTTCCATGTATCATTGGAGTGTTTTTTCTTCCTGAGTGATTGGGGCAGCCAGCTGTATAATAATCAGCGCTTGTGCTTGAGAAGCCCTTCAGATAAAGCCTCTCGCAGGTACGTCAGTCTGCCTGCCTGCATCTCAACCCATCTGTACATGTGTGTGGGAGTGAGGAGCAAAGAAAGGAGGGCAGGAGCAGCACTGATATTCACCCTTCACAGGGCAGTGCCTTTGAAATGCCACTCTGGTACTTAGTAGCTCTAGGCTCATTTCGGGCACGCAGTGTACATACTCCATCTTTCTTTCGTTAATATCACTCTGAAGCAGTGCAGAGGGATGCAGTACATGTGTTTGATTGGAGAGCCCCCAGGTAGGTTAGAGCTTTCTCTTCAGATTGTTAGAGCATGTTAAAGACCTTTCTGTATGCTCTTCCGCATGGCATCACCTCTCTTTTATCCATCCTTGGTAGTGATTTCTGCTCCCTTAACGCACAGTGCTGTAAGGTTATATCCATGTGGGGAAAGATTTGGGCATATTTCTAGGCAGAGCCAGAGCAACACAAACCCCATGGAAAAGTGAAAGCTGAAATACAGACTTCCATCTCTTGATAACTGTGGCTCCTCTTGAACTTTCTTCTAAAGACTGTAGACAGTGAGGTACTTGGTTCTCCTGGGTTACATAGAGGCTAAAACTTCCTTTCTGTGTTTAAGTGTCAGACGCAGCATGAGAAAGGCGCAGAGGGATCACAGGGTGAAGTGATGGTGGGGGCTGCCTGCTCAGCTGTGGCAGAAGACAGGATGATATTGCCTGTGAATTGATGGTGTCCTTGAGAAAGCATCACAGCAGCACACAGGTCTGTGCCTGTCGGTGCCGCAGTCGTCGCTTGGATGCTGTGGGTGATTTTTCACCTCCTTTGCTCAGCCCAAAGGCACTGAGGAACTTGATGAGAAAGTTACTGTTTGTCCTGGAGGAGGGAGGACCCTGGGCTTGTATTGGTTTTGTCCTTAGCGATCTGCCCCTTCCTACCTGGGTTTTCATAAAAGCCCTGGTGTGAATGAGTTTGGTTCCAGGCTGTGGCCATCCCTGGCATCCCTTGGGGTCCCTATGGCAGAGCTGTGGGGTGAGCTGTGCCCTTGGGCTTCAGCAGGCCATTTGGTAC